AATACACTTGGTTACTGCAGTGAAAGCACTGACAATGCACACACAATGGGAAGAAGGAGGGGAAAAGAGAAAGGGAAAAGAAAAAAAGAGATGAAAGTAGAAATGCAACAATACATTAGCATACACACCTTGAATAGTATTTGTTACCTTTACTGAATTAAAAAAACATTAGCAGTCCTTAGTATTTGGATAGCCTTTTGTACCATGGCACCATAACTGAGCCACAGTTTCCAGCCATACTTCTAAAACAGTGCTCAGCACAAACCAAGTCTGGTCTCAGTTTGACTCTCCACACCCAAGCAACACAGCTGCCAGGCTGCAAGCACAAAGTCCCCTTTGCTACAAGAAGTGCCACAGTCAGTTATTCAAGATGCCCAAACCACCTAGCACCTTGCCTCAAAAACCTGCCAAAAAGTACAGATGATTAAGGAATGACAGAGTCTGTCCCTAGGAATCACAATGCCTACAGTGGAGAATGAGATGCATGAGCAATGAAAAAAAATGATGAAAAAAATGATTCCCACGCATATGCAGCATGAAAGGAGCAATATGATGCTCTCAAGCAGCAGACACAAGTCAGCTTGGTAGGGATTAAAAAAATTTACGAAACAAAATGTTTTGTTAAAGAGCACAATGAAATCACCGGGAGTTTCGTTGACAGGCCCAGAATTCCTTCATGCTGCTGCTGTTTTGGGCTCGCCAGTATTAACAACCACCTTTCCTTTACATGGGAACTGAAACGTACTCCCACTGCCCAAACACAAATGGATCCACACTGCCACTGCTTTTCACTTCAGTTTTCAACAGGGTAGAGAACATCCTGGGAGCTATCTCTGGTTAAAATTCCACATCCTTACAGGTAACATGGGCTAGAAAGAAAATGTGACTCAGCGCAGTCTGATAGCGCTTTGGCTTTATAACACACTCCTCAGAGACTCTGCAGGGTGTGAATTACAAACACAATAGGCTTGGAGAGATCCACAGTTATTAATGAGGCCTGATGTGCCTCAGTTCTGCATGTCAAAAATCACCATGGCCTGATTCCTCCTAAAGAACTGCATTTATAGACTTCTTTTTAACATGTGACCACACTTCAAACCTCTGCTGCTGCATTTACACAGAGCGACTTACACATCTGCCTTTTTTTTTTTTAAATATATGGATACTATTCAAACTCCTGCTGCTGCTTTGAGCTTCTGCAGGATCCTGCCTTTAAAAGCCCTGGGCTTTCATGGTTCCCTTGCTGCATTTTTAAAAACATTCTCACTTAGCCCAAGAGCAGGATTAAACAGGTTTTCAGCCCTGCTCACCTCCTTTTTCTCTGGAAAGTTTCACTTCTCGTTTTATTCCCTACTCCCCCCTAAATCTGAGGGCTGATAAACTACCCTCTCAGCGTATGAGGGTGGGCAGCACTTCTCCAGCAGTCAAGGCACCAAGAGGAGGGACCTCAGAGTGCCAGTGCTGACAAAACGCAGTGGAGAAATGCTGCCAGGTGCAGCCTGGGGAGAGGAGAACCTGTTACAAGTGTTCTGAAGTGAGGTAAGAAATCTGACAAAGCTTGTTGAGGAAACAGGGTGTTCAAGCTGACCATGGGTTTATAAAATACAACAGGAAAAGTTCCCTTAGAAATAAAGTGGAAGCTTGTGGTTGTGGACACACTAGCAAACCAAATGGTTAGACTGATGCTGCTCTAAAATTTCCTTTTCTTGTGCACTTTCAGCAATTCCATTGAGAAAACCACCCCAGCTGTCAGAGTTTCCCAGTGTACAACATCCAAGGCACTGTGCTGCTGTCTCACCTGCCTCTCGCTGACACGAAGAGGACCAAACACCATACACTGGATCACCTTAGCAACCAGCATCAGAAAACAGCAGGCAGTGTTCACTAGCACCTGGAAAGAAATAATGCAGTCAGTGACTAATACTTTTGCCCTATTTAGAAGGAGGGAGAGAGAGAGGGGAATGAACAAGTCTAACAAACCTGCCATTGTTCACAGAACAGTATAAGTTGCCTTTTTTTTTTTTTTTTTGGTGAAATTTAAGCCCAGCCTCTTCCAAGACCCATGGAGCAACTGATAAGTCACTTAACTTATTTTTTATCTAGGAATACTACCACAGTCAGACTCAGCAGCACAGCCAACAAACTGAGCTGCCTCTTCACAATAAATTATTTTATACAGATCAGCAAACTTCAGCGTGAAGGAACATGGGGACGGAACTTAAGAGATCACCAAGGTGCTCATTTTGTTTAACATAACAGCAGGTGAGAAAACTCCACTTTGAATCTGTGGTGACAGTAACAAGACTCAGAGGCTGCCTCAAAACGTGCTGAGTAGCACACACCCCTTCAGTAAGGACACCTGCTTAAAGCCTTCTTGGGAAACTGCTCTAAAGCAAAGCAGCAAGCAGTAGAACACATGGGCCTGGGAAAACTGGCTTCTCACATTTGACAAAGACACGTGTAATGAGCTTCTGACCTGTGCAGGACACTAAAAAAGTGAGAAGAGGGATGATTGAAGCAGCCTCAACCTGTCATTTCTACAGGACATACAATAAACTTTTCCAGGACTCTTAATTTAATGTCCTGAGACCAGGTTTCGACACAGATGAATGCATTTGTTGTATTACAAAATCAGCACTTCAGTCAAGCAAGCACGTTGTGAAGCAAACGTCCAACTCCTGCCACCTTTGACTGACAGACACATGGAAAGTTCACTGGCAACAACTCAGCAAGGTTTCTGATATCCCCTTGTTCAGTCCTTATTTCAACTACAAATCAGTGAGCCAAGATTCATATACTATCGCCAGGTTTGGGTTTAAAGAGATACAGAATTAATTTTTTTCCTTAAATGATGAGAATGTTTCCTCTTACCTACATGACTTAAATTTAAAAAAAAAAAAAGGCAAACAAAGCAAAAGCCTTGGGCTCGAACCCCTGACGGTCCCTTGCTCAGGCTGCGGGCAGAGCAGGTGTTCGGCGGAGCCCAAGCAAAGCACCCGCCCGGGACCCCCGCAAACACCCGACAGCTTCACCCCGGCCGGGCCGAGCGGGGCCGCCGGGAGCGGGCACAAAGCCGGGCTGGGCGCTCGGCCCCGCCGCTGCCCCGAACGTGGGGCCCCGCCGAGCCCCCCCCGGCTCCGCCAGCAGCTCCGAACAATAAGGGAGAGCCGCGAGTCCGCCCCGCCGCGGGCAGCGCCGGCACAGGCCGACAGAGCCAGCGCCCGGCCCGGCCCCGCCGCAGGCCGCGGAGGCCCCGCCGCCGCCCCGGCTCACCCAGACGCAGAGGCTGTCGGACAGCAGGTAGTAGGCGACGTCCAGGGCCCGCGGGCCGGCGGGCGCCTGGCTGAGGGCGCGGTAGGCGCTGAGGCCGGCGCCCAGCAGCGCCAGGGCGCTGAGCGCCGTGTAGGTGCGGAGGCTGGGCCAGGGGAAGCGCTCCAGGAACAGCAGCGGCATCGCGGAGCACTCGCCGCCGGCCCGGCCCCGCTCCCGGCCCGCCGCGCTCCCCCCGCTCCGCCGCCGCGGCCCAACGCCCGCCCCGCCGCCCCTCCCCGGGGCCGGGCGAGCCGGCCCCGCCGCGCAAGGCAGACAAGAGCGGCCCCGAGCCCCCCGCCCCGGCCCGGGCGCCGCGTCCGCCCGTCACCCGCGCGCTGAGTCACGGCCGGGGCGGCGCCTGCACCGGGCCGGCCCTGCCCGCACACCCCGCCCGCGCCCGGGACGGCCGGGGGACCCGCCGGAGCCCAGAGCACAGCCACGGAGTCAGGGCAGAACGCGGAGACACCGCACCTGCCCCTCGCACGGGCAGCCTGCAGCAAGAATTGGTCTCTCCAACTACCGTGTGCAGCGCAAGGTGAGGGGTGCTGTCAAACGCGAGGGAGCAAAAGCTGCACTCTGCTCCTTGATCGTGTAGGAACTGACTTCCAAGCCTCCACCTGCCCTTCCTCGCTTCCACGGGCAAAATGGTTCTGTTCTACGGTCCCCTGCTAGCTTTATTTCCCCACCTGGCAGTGAAGAAACCATACCCTCTGCTCAGCAGCTGCCTAGGCCTTCCATCCATAGGACCAAAGAGCACAGACCTACCACTACCTTTCCCAGCATCTGTCAGTGCCCTTCCCATATGGCACAGCTTCCATATGACCACGGCACCGAGCTGTCAGGATTGTTCTGTACATTGCTTACCAGTGCAGATGGCAGCAGAGCCAAGCACTTTGGCAAGACTCAGTTCTCTTGGCAGCTGGCACTTCCCAACCCCGCCTTCGTGAAAGAGGACAGTGCACAAGCAACAGTGCATCTCCGGATCAGAGGCAGAACATAGACACAGATGTTTTAAAGACTCATCAAGTAAAATTACGGAAGGCTAAAGGCACTGGGACATGTCACATCCAACTGGAATTTACGTTTAGCCAAGCATGTAAAAACCCCAAAGTCAGTAAGGTTGATTTTTACTACCTGCAAGAGACTGAAATATTGAGAAGAAAAAGCAGAAGCATGGATATCCCTTGCAGGATGACACAGCACAGCTCGGCATAACATGGAACCACTTGCACATGGCATTAGCAAAGCATTTCAACATGACCCTAATTCTGTTCAGTAGCTAAGGAAAAATATACAAAATTACCTTTGCTTTCCAGAAGGAATATGTTGCATCTCCTCTGAGCCCCGTACAAACAGGTCAATTCTGGTAACAGATAAAGGCTACAGTTGCCCTTAAGTTCTCATACTCCCTCAAAACACCAGTTCTGTTCTCCAGGTTAAGACTCGAAATTATTATACTGTTTAAATTTCTCCCTGATCTTAATTCCCTGCTCGGGGGTGCAGATCGGAGCATCTGACTGGGCCCTGAATGGCTTCGCTCCTCCTCTGGTTTCCAAGAGCTTCTGTATTCCTGAAGTATTAAAAGTTTAAAATATGTCCCTAAAAGTAGGAGACAACTAAATAAAAATAAATAAAACACCCCAACCAACCAACCAACCAAACCCCAAACCAAACCCAAGACACAAACAGAATCTTAACCATTTTGTTTAATGTTGTACAAAACAAAAAACTGGTGAGTATTACAGTGAAAAGGGAATAAAACACTGGTATCACATTGCCATCTCTCTACCTAAACAATTGAGATTCACTTCTCTGTTCATACCATAGAAACTTCAGTGGCCTCCAGGAACAGAATGACTTAAAAAAAATCCTTGAGTCACACGTACTCTTCACTCTACACTTTAAAGCTGTGCTCACAGAGACGGCTTCTTCTGTTGGAGTCTTCAGGTAAACAGGAGTTCAGTTGTAAATAAAGTTGAATCTGAAATTTAAAAGGATTATACCAAGTGAGGAATTTTCGTTCTTTCTATTTAAGGGCGTTTTTGAATTGTTATGCAAATGATTTGTTTCTGCTCTGGATAAGCCTCCACCTGACAGGACAAAAGTGCATTTTTCAGTAAGACAGCTTTACAGTACAGCATCATTTTTTAACAGCCATTCCTTCTCTAACATTGCACAACTGTCTCTTAGGGTTGCAGAAGAGCTAATTATTAACGTTTCATCTCCTAAGACAGTTTCATAGATATGAAAATCCCAGTGAGAGTTATGTTCCTCCACCAGCAACTCCTGCACAGTATTTCTGCTGTCAGGCAACCCTTACATTTTCCAAAGGTAACATACATGGACATACTCAACAGCAGAATTCTCAACTAAGTTTCACAAATACCAGTGGAAACAACCATCCCTCTCAGCTTCCAGATGCCCAGCCTTCAGATGCCTCTGTTGCACTGCTGCCCAACCAGCACCTGTCTGCACAACAGCCAGTGTTCTGCTGGTACTCAGAAGTACCTGCAGTTTTTAGAAGGGGGAAGCCAAAAGCTGGGGCTGGATAGACAAAAAAAGCCCAGCTGGAAACAAGCCCATTATGGGCAACACCAGTGCTGACATTCTGCTAGCAGGCTTTCTTCATCAGAGGAAGAGGAGGACAGAACTTTCCTGAAGAGCAGCTGGCAGGCTGTGGGATGTCTGGCATGCCTGAATGACCATCCACTGAAATAAGAAACCAGTGAGCTCTGGAGACCTGAGGCACAAGCCATGTCCAGGTAAGAAACCTGAAGAGTGTGTACATTGGGAAGAGGAAGGCAAAAATACAGCTGTCCCTACAGATATTTGTGTCATAAAAATGCTCCACGCTATAAACTGTAGCAGGGAGTCTAAAACCCCACCACATTTGATCAGCACAAAGCTGTGATAACGTGCACACCTAACTCAGTGCTTCACTCACATCTTGGCCTTTACTCTCACGCTGTCCTCACAGCACCTACAAGAAGCTGTTCCTTGGGCTTGCACAGCCCCATCCTCACTTTCACATTTCCTTAGCTACAGTGCTTGTAGGGCTTTGGTGCCAGCCAGCTGTGATCAGTGCCTCTAAACTGCCCACCACACCTTGTCTGAGGGACATTCTTTGGGACAACTACAACTTTTTCAAGTTGGTTTCTATAGTGCCTCACGCTGCTCTGCTGTCCCACAGCAAACATATTGCCAAGAACCATCACACAAACACAATGTACCTGCTCAAAAGTTGAGGAAGGCTGGAAATAATTGGTCCATATCCTGGTGCATTGTCATAGAGCTCAAACAAGGGTGCAGCCACCAGCTTGTAATTTTTGGGGACTGCGAACAAAGCTAAAAACAAATACAAGTTGATAAATAAGACAAACCAGAACACATTCAGCCAGGGTATCATTGTCCCACACAGCCCTCAAAACAAGGTCACCACACAGAGCACTCAAGCAGGTTTGTTCCTTTTCTACTTAAACATGGGGTTCACATGCTGAACAGGAGCAGGAATGAGAATTTACTAGGAATTCATGTTCAAAGGATCATCTACCTTCAGAACCAACACCAGCATTTAATTTCGTTAGTGACCAACTACAAACAGCTGCAAGCATACGAACACAAACTTGCTACCTCTCCCTGTAGGAAATGCAAGCATTTAGACATTGGTATAAATACAACCCTTTGCTGCAAACAAATACCTACCCTTTTCTTGAAGCTGGACCAAAAAAAGTTTTTTGTGCTCTTTTGGCTTTGTAATATGAGCTGGGATATAGGGATACTAGAAGAAAAATGACAAAAATTAGTTGTACAGAGCTTTGGAAATACTGTGCAAAACTTTTATAAATTATCAAGCACTGAGCAAGCTTTCAATGTGTCATATATTCTTCTTTCTTGGCATCAAATAAAAAAAAAATTATAAGAAAGTACTTAAGAAAGGAATGCTGTTGCTGCCACAACTGGTGACAGGATCTAAATGGGCCCCAATACTCACAAGCAATTAAAACAACCCAGTAAGACAGAAATGCATAGCAGTAAAATGAGCAAAGATTTTCAGTATAAAAGCCTTTGGAAACAGGGCAGTGAGACTAATTTATTCACAGGGCATCTGTTCCATAAGCACCAGTGCCAGGGTTTCCACTGTGGCTACAAAAAGAATTTCAGTGGTGCATCTGTCTCAGCACAGAACTGGAAGCTATTACGTCCAGTGGTTTCTCATCCATCATGACACGTATGAGGAGGGAGACAGAAGTTTCCAGAAGAAGAGGTTGCAGTTTCTCCCCAGTCACCAACAGGAGACAAAACAGGTAAAAACAGAAAAACTAACTGCTCATGCAGCAGGTACTCCTAAAGGCCAGCAGGTGGGCTGAAGGCTTTGGAAGTACAATCAGTACTTGACTGAAGAAGATGGAAGCCCACAGGAGTACTCACCTGTGGAGGTTCAAAGTTGGGTCTCCACCAATTGCCAATGCAGTCATCAATCACCCAGTCTTGCTGAACACCATCCTGGCGACCCAGTATCTACCAAAAATCAGTAACAAGCACAACTCTAACTACCCCAGTCCATTTTTTTAGAAAACACACACTGGAAGAACAAAAACTTGCTGTAGTAAGTGTCTGATGTAGTTCAGAACTGCTCTGAGACAGCTTTCAATAGAACTGTAGAGTACTTTTGCACGAAGTGGAATTTTTTAGTAAAAGCCTCGCCAGGCAGGACAAGGCCACTTCAGAGAGCATTTCAGATTCCACGCTGTATTCAGCTGGACTGAGTCCTATCTGAGCAGGGAACAAGGAAATACATTGTTACACCAGCTGGCAGAACAATTTAGGCTAATTGGAGGGCATGGAAGGTTAGTGGTGCAACGGGAGGACTATCTCAAAGGCCAGTCCTCACCAGCTGTGCTCCACAACATATTTTATTGCTCATCTGCACACTCACTTGCCTGAGGCCAGTCAGAAAGCAAAGCTGCAAATGAACACAGGACTTGAGCAGCAGCAGGAGTCAGCCACACTCATGATGCAGACAAATGAACACTTGACTGCTTATGTGTAACTACCTGAGAACATCACAAAAGCAACAAAATAACAGCAGCGGTAAGAAGACCACTCTGATGTTCTGGCTTATTCTGCCAATTCTAAAATAGTGTAACATTCTGCTACAGCAACACAACAAAAGAAAACAGACCTCTGTCATCAAGCGTTTGAGCCCTTCCACCTCATCTTCTCCAGGATTGAGTTCACCACCAGGGCTGTTCAAATAATCAGTGATGAAAGCTAAAGTTACATTTTATTGCATTTACCAGCTTTCACAGGTAAATTCAGATGTGCTTCCACGCAGGGAGTTGCAAATTCTTTTATGGTCCTTAAGTCAGAAATTCCAAATCTACCTTTGAAATTGAAGACAGCAGGATAACTTTCACCATAAACCATGACTAAAATGGCTACTTATGTCCCTTATGAAAATAACTATTATATAAAATGCTTTCAGTCGAGCAGGACAAAGCATAACAATAGACATGGTAATGACTGGGACACTTAAAAGGTAAAGTTTTAACAACAATAACCAAAAGCTGAAGAAAAGATTGTAAATACTGCCTGTTTTTATTCTTACCTCAACACCAGCACACACAAAGTCTTTGCAAGACGCGAATCTCATTCAGAACATCAACCAGTTGGCCACAGTTTAACCTCTCACCACCTGTTTAGCGGTCTGTGACAATAAACTAAAGCTTAAAGTTTAAGAAACACTTACAGCTTGAAAAAAGTTGTCCCCAGCTGCAGGAGCAGCACGTGGGGCAGCCTGTGCTCGTGCACGATCAGCACCCCTTCCACCGTCCTCCTCATGCCGATCTTGTCAAACTCCTCCCTCATGCGCTGGAACCGCGCGGCCACCGAGCTGTCCTTCTCATACAGGGGCTCCTTGGTGCCGAACGTGTAGTTTGTCAGAGGGTACCTGCGAGGGGGAAACGGCACTGCGTGAAGAAACCTAACTTTAAACCCCTGTGACGCAGCCCCCGGCCTGGGGCAGCCCCCTGTGTGCCTGGTGGGTGACTCAGAGCGCAGGGATAAAACCCTCGCTGGTGGCTCTCGGGGCCCTGGAGCCAGAGGGAGCTGCTGGAGGGAACTCAACAAGGAAGGAAGCTGCACAGGACTGCAGCTGTTTTCTGCAGATGTAATGAAGGGCCTCAGAACTAAACTGTTAGAAGGATGGTTTGTTTTGAAGTAGGAAATCAGGCGTCTGCATCACAGAAGAAGAGAAATGCTGACTGTCTGAAGGCAGGGTTGGGAGCCTGGGGGAGGGTAAAGAGTGTGAGCAGATCCCCCTGTTGGGCTGGTTCTGGGCCTCTGCACTCTTGGGACAGTGCAGTGGAAACTCAGTGATTTCTCCAGGTAAGAGGGACTGAAAACAGTCACAAAAGAAAAGAAAGGTTAGGCAAGAAATGGCCTGAACTTTAAAAAAAAAATATGCTGATAACACAGCTTCCTGATGAGGCATTTCTTCAGAAACTCTATAGAAATATTCCAATCTCTGAAGCTCATATTTGAACTTTCACAAGACTCTGAATAAACTCAGCTACACCAAAAAACACAAGTGCCAGTGATGAGTAGTTCAAATTGAATATTGACTGCTGCACTTAACATCTGCTGGTTTTTGCAACTTGACAGACATGCTTAGCAAAGAACACATTCTGTGTCCACCAGGATTTACTAGAAGAAGCTAAAATACATAGTTTCTCATTAAAAAATATGTCAATACTTATTAGCAAGTACTTTGTATCTATGACAGAAGTAAAGTTTTCTCTTGTAGCAAGCACTTTGAATAGAACCCCAACACCTGCACCAGACAACCCACAAACACCAGGCACATCCAGCTGCATCCTACTGACTGCGGCCACAGGGTCAGCCCGGTCCCAGCGAGGCCAACAATGCCGGAGAGGCCAAGCTTCTCCCTCTGCCGCCTTTCGGGATTACCCACGGGAGCGCCTGTGATGCTCAACACGCCCAAACCCTCCCTGCGTTACTCGGGGCTCACACCTCCCGAGCCAGACGCTGTTTTTGAGCACTGAAGCGTTCACCCCAAACGCTCCACACTGCCCCGACGGCCGGCGAGCCCTCGGTCCCCCCAGTGCGGCTCAGCAGCCCCTGCGCGGGGGGAGCCCCAAAGGCACCGGGGCCGTGCCGCCCTGCCCTCGGCTCTCCGGGAGGCCGCGACCCTCCGGGCCTCGCAGGGCGGGCACAGAGCGCAAACCCCGCGGGGCTGCTGAGGGAGCGGGGCCGGGGCTGCTGAGGGAGCGGGGCCGGGGCTGCTGAGGGAGCGGGGCGGGGCTGCTGAGGGAGCGGGGCCGGGGCTGCTGAGGGAGCGGGACGGGGCTGCTGAGGGAGCGGGCAGGCCCGAGGCGGCGCTCACAGGTTGATGGTTCTCTCCAGCGTGAGCGGCTTCGTCTGCTGGATGTACTTGTTGCCGAACTGGTTGACCCCGCGGGGCCAGCCGGTCTGCGAGCGGTTGGGCGGCACCACGGACATGGCGGGAGCGGCGGGAGCGGCGCTCAGAGCTGGCCGGCGGGAGCCGCGTCCGCCATCAACGCCCGCCCGGCCCCGAGCGCCGCGCGCCGCCTGCCGGGACCGCGCCCCGCCCTGCCCTGCTCGCCCATTGGCCAGCAGCGCTCCGCCCCGTCCACCGCGCTCTCCGATTGGCCGCCGGGGGAGCGGCGCGGGGGCCGCCGGGAGTTGCAGTCCGGCCGGGGGGCGCCATGGCCGCCAAGCGCCGCGGAGCGGGCGCGCTGCCGGGGGCCAAGCGCGGGAGGCGGGAGGGGCGTGCGGAGCTGAGCGCGGCCCTCGGGGACGCGGAGCTGCGGGAGCGCGCGGGGGCGGCCTGGGCCCGCGGGGAGCGCCTGCGGCACGGTACGGTGTGGTACAGTATGGCACGGTACGGCACGGTACGGCACGGTGCGGTATGGCATGGTGCGGTACGGTACGGCCTGGGCCCGCGGGGAGCGCCTGCGGCACGGTACGGCGTGGTACAGTATGGTGCGGTGCGGCACGGTACGGTGCGGCATGGTACAGTATGGTGCTGTACGGTACGGTACGGTACGGCCCGGCCGGCCGGTGAGGAGCGGTACGGCTCGGTACGGCCCGGCCCCGTTCCCCGGCCCTCACCGGCGGCCTCTCCCCGGCAGAGGCGGCGGCGCTGGAGCCGGCCCCGTTCCGCCACGCCGTCATCCCCGGGTTCCTGGCGGGCGCGGCCTTCGCCGAGGCGCTGCGGGACGAGCTGCTGGGCCTCGCCTTCCGCGGGCGGCACAACGACCTCCTCTCGCTGCGGCAGGTGGGACCCGCGCCGCGCCGGGCCGGGCCGGGCCGAGCCGGGCTGAGCCGCCCTAACCCCGTCCCTTCCTCTCTTCCATGGGCCGCCGCAGTCCGACGAGCTGGGGGCAAACGCCGAGCCCCACATCGCCGCGCTGAGGTAAAGGATACACTGTCACCCGCAGCGACAGCACCTGTGACTCTTTCAATAGCTGGGAGACAATACATTAGTTTAGTCTGTGGTGATATGGATGCTTTATAACAAGTGCCCTGTGCGTGTCTTCTCAGGAACGCTCTGTGTGAAGAATTCCGACCCTGGCTTTCTGCTGTGACCCAGATAGAGCTGGAGCCAACTATTGACATCTCCTGTGCTAAATATGAGTATACTGGTCAGTACATGAGTGATCCTTTCGCTAAAGCTTCTGTGCATGCATTGGAAACAAAATGTCAACGGAATACCTACTTTTATAACCCATCCCAACCCTTTTCTAGTTCCAGAGGGTCCCAGAAGCAGCAAATAAAAGTCTCAGAAAACAAAGTACAAATGGTGGAAAAGGTGTTGCTGTAGTTCTGTTGCTGGTGGCTTTCACTGGGCCTGGTGCTGTTGCAAGTCCTCACTTTTTCAGAGTTTATGTGGCTGCTTCCATGCAGAAGGGTGAATGTTCATCTTCCAAATGCTGCAGCTGAGTTTGTGGGGGCTAATCTGCCAGCTGCAGTGCAATCCCACACAAGTTAATCTTGCAGATCTCAGGGCAGTGATGCCGATGAGTTGAAAATGCAGTTCCTGGGAGGAACATGTCTCTTCTTGCTGTACCCTGGCGGGGCCAGAGCTGGGAGGCAGCTGCTGGAAGGATGGAAAGATGCTGCAGCAGCAGCAAAACGTGTGTGATTGCAGATGTGTTGCTGTGCCACGATGACGAGCTGGAGGGTCGGAGAATCGCCTTCATCCTGTACCTGGTGCCACCCTGGGAGGGCAGGGACGGGGGAACGCTGGACCTGTACGGCACAGACGGTGAGAGCCCTGGGGGGTCACAGACACAGGGCTCGTGTGCACCTGGCAGCAACTCTCAAACAGTAGAAGGGAGATAAGGAGTTTCTCCTTTGTCCTCAAAAGCGGGTGTATGGGTCAGATTTGCACCTCAGGTGGGCTGTAGGGGGCTTTACAGACCACGAGCAACAGCAGGCAAAGAAACAGCCTTTTATTGTGTTCTTTTTGGAAGGGCTGAGAGTGGAGGCAAGTTGGAAGCAATGGCAGTAACTGTGCTTGGAACTCCAGATTGATGACAGTAACGTCCCTTTCCAGCACAGAATGGTTTGGGTTGGAAGGAATCTTAAAGATCGTCTCATTCCTGCCCCCTGCCATGGGCAGGGACACCTTCCACTAAACCAGATTGCTCCAAGTCCTGTGCAACCTGGCCTTGAACAGTTCCAGGGATGGGGCAGCCACAGCTTCTCTGTGCCAGGGCCTCACCACTCTCATAGTAAAGAATTTCTTCCCAACGTCCAATCTAACCCTGCCCTCTGGCAGTTTGAAGCCATTCCCCCTTGTCCTGTCCCTCCAGGCCCTTGTCCAGAGTCCCTCTCCAGCTCCCTTGCAGCCCCTTTAGGCCCTGAAAGGGGCTCAAAGGTCTCCCTGGAGCCTTCTCCTCTCCAGGCTGAACAGCTCCAGCTTCCTCTGCCTGTCCCCAGAGCAGTGCACTGATTCCTCACCACGCCCTTGCTCTGCACTCCATCCCTGGTACCCAGGTGTCCTACCAGTCACTGTCAGGAAGTGGGAGAGAAGTAGCAGCCTCTAGCAAGTCCCAGTTCAGGATCTTAACCAGAGCATGTTTTCTTCCTCCTCAGAGCACTTTCAGCCCCAGCAAATCACCAAGTCATTAGTGCCTTCGTGGAACACGCTGGTTTTCTTTGAAGTGTCTCCAGTCTCTTTCCACCAGGCAAGGAGCTGTCTCTTGTTCCTTTTTTGATTCTCATTGTTGTGGTTGTTCCCTCTGTGTGTTATTACAATCCTGATGGGGAAGGAGAGGAACTGTGGCTAGAGCAGATACTCGTGCGAAGTGCTGTGTGCTGAAGGCAGGGCTTCAAGGACTGACAAAGCCAGCACTAAACTATCAGTCTAGCTCCATCATCCTGGGAAAGAAGAATTTCTGGTTTGTCTTGCTATCCTGGCAAGCCCCTGCTGTAAATTTGGCTAGGGCTTGGTTTTGTTTGTTGGCTTGTTTTAAACTAGCTCACATCTTTCATGTCATCACTTTGCTCCAGAAGAGCTCCTGAGCCCACCACCTTGCCAACAGGGCTATAATTTGTGCTTTCTCTTCACACTACTGTTACAGCACCTTTAGAGTGTGAAATTGTTCCATTTATCCCAACCTCTGCACAATTTCATGAAATCAAGGTTTAACAGTGTCCATCACTGTGGGAAAACTAAGGGTTTCCAGAGACCAGGGTAAATGCCAGGATAAAAGGTCTGCTCTTAGTCTGACAAATAAAGAGCCAAAGGTACCAGCCAAACGTCCTTCGTGCTGGCTTGTGTTACAGCAGTTTTAAAAAGTAAAGGACAAAAAAGCAGAGCAGTATGGTCTGCCAAGGCCCACGGGTGCTCCGTGTTGTCTGACCTTCAGATGGAGCTGTGACAGATGATTTTTGCAGGTCATGGCTGGTCCTTCAACAGAATAAATGGTAGAAAAATGAAATACAGTTACTTTACAACAGAATGACAAGGCTCTCAGAAAGAGCTCTGCTGTGAGCTTGGAGTAAAAGCCTAGGCTGGAATTCTGGGACATGCAATGGACTCGAGCATCAAAGCTTGCTCTCGTCCTCTCCGATAATCGACCTGGTCTAGCCCTGACTTTTCCATGTGTGCAAGTGGGCTCTCTGGAGTCAGGTCCACCTCCTGCCGTGAGTGTGCACGGTGCCTGTCACCCCTGTCCTTGGCTGTGCTGTCACCCAGGCAGTGACGTGCCGCTGGTGCCATTGCAGGTGTCAGAAGTGGTGTCGCACAAGTGCCGCCTGTCCGTGAGCGGCTGGTTCCACGGCCCGGCAGAGCTCAGACCCGCCCGCCACGCTGAAGCTCCCCTGCCCAGGAGCCCCCACATCCCCTGTGATGTGAGTAACAAGCCTGCATCTGCTCATCTGCGTGTCTCTGTCTTGTTCCTGTAGTACCTGCTGCGGGAGGCCGCGATGCTCTGGGGATGCTTTAATCCTGTTGCGCTCTCCTTTTTGTTCCCTGTCCATAAATTTGTATCCAGGTTCTTTCTCGTGCATCTTTCTTGACTCTGGATGTTTTGCACACCTGCAGTAGTTCAGAGACTGCAGCAAATACTGGTGGTGCAATGCAATAAAGGAATGGAGTGTGTGTGTAGGAATCCAGCTCTGTAGGGGGAACTGAGGAATTTCACTTTTGCAAACTCGGGATTGCAATATCCATTTCCCTTCCAGCATGAAATATTGTATGAGTGGATCAATCCTGTTTATTTGGACATGGACTCCCAAGCTCAGATCCAGGAGGAATTTGAGGAGCGATCGGAAATTCTCCTGAAAGACTTCCTGAAGGTGAGCCTGGTGGTTCCACTTGATCTCATCTGCCAGAAGGGGTTGCAGGGCTGGCAGGTACCACCTGGCAGGCAGGCTGGGAAAGGGCTTGCTTGCACATCTGTTAACTAAAACACCTAGTTCCGTGCCCTAAAGGGGAATGGACCTCCAGAGGTCCTTTCCAACCTCGCCCACTCTGTGATTCTGTGGGTGGATCCCCTCTGACTGACTGTACACTGCTGCACAGGGACTCACCAAAAATCAAACACTTGTACTCAACCCTATTTCCTGCAAGAAGCAAAGCAGAAGGCTGGAAACCCACGTCACCCTTCCTGCTTCTCAGCCTTTCCCCCAGCTCTTGCAGTCTGGCACTTGGGGAACTCCACAGGTGTGTGAAACAAGTGACCCATGGGAGGTTTGTCTTACCTGAAGGGCTTTGCCTCTCAAGGCTGACTGACCTCTGGCTTACAGGGCACCTGTATCTCAGTCAAGCTGCATTCTCACCCAGCAGACAACCAAGTAGCATCTGATACCTCCTGGTCACTCACTGAACAGACACAAGGCCCTCCCAGGCAGTGCCTCTAAATTCAGCAGCCTTGGGATCCTCAGACAAGCTAGAGAGAAAGTTAAGAATGCCTTATTTGGAGGCACTGCCTCTGGCACACCTGGGAGCTAAATGTTAATGCCTCTGCACTATCGTTTTTGCCTAGAAAGAGAAATACCAACTACTCTGTGAAGCGTTGGAGAACAAAGGGATCCAGTGGAGTAGTCGTGGGCCTGCCAACAAAAGGTGGGG